TAGAGTTCATCTGCAAAAATAAATATCTACAGTTTTTGGAATGACAATGACAATGACAATGAACTTAATGTAGAAACATGATTTCTGAAAACTACTAAAAATTAAGTTATATCTGTTTTTTTTAAATAAACTTTTCATGTATATGTTGTGCCAAAAGTCATGAGTTTGTTACCTATGTGTATAGACTTTTAAAATTATTAATAATATATTTTCATATGTTGTGCCACTATGACTTTAGGCATACATCTGTTCTTAATATTAAGAACACATAATGATTCCATTTATATACTATATTTATGCTTAAGCTTTTAATACTTCATCGAGTAACTCATTATTTACAAACCAGTTATTTAAAAGTAGTTGGTGGTTTTTAAGATCATTCAGAAAAAGTAAATAATTAATAAACTATTCTTACAAATTAACATTTACACATCTTATTATACAGGCATATACACACACAATTTCATTTAGCTTTTTATGACCTAATCTAACGTGAGGACAAACTATGTAAAGCTTTGAAAAATTCCTTAAAAGTAAGTTAGCTGATGACACCAAAGTCATTGGCCTTTCCAAGGATGGTAACAAGCCTGCTTAATGAATGGTAGCTGAGCAGTTGAGCCATCTGGTTATCAACCTTGAGTTCAACATGGTCAAAACAGTGGAGACGATTGTGGATGTCATTTAGGTTCCTGGGCACCACAATCTCCAGAACTTAAAGTGGAACACTTACAAAAAAAAAAAAAAAAAGTTCAGCTAAGGCTGTATTTCCTCCACCAGCTGAGGAAGACCAACCTGCCACAAAAGCTGCTAAAACTGTTTTACTCTGCTGTCATTGAGTTTGTCTTGTGCTCTTCTATAACTGTTTTGTTTGGTTCAGCAGCCACCAAACTAGATATCAGCAGACTACAGCAGAGAGTCAGGACTGCAAAGAACATTTTTGGCGGCCTGCTGGCCACCTTCCAAGATCTCTATGTCTCCAGAGTGAGGAAAAGAGCTCAGAAAATCAATTTGGACCCATCACACCCAACCCACTCGGTCTTTGAACTGTTGCCCCCTGGTCTGTGCTATACAGTACTGTGCACCAAAACCCTCATGCCCCATTTCCCCCATGCCATTGTATAAATATCAGCAATATTTTTTTTCTCTATTTTTTAAAAATGTTATTGTTATTTTTTCATATTCTTATTTCTCCATTCATGTCTGAACTATGTGTGTACTTTAATGTACAAGCTACTATTACTTAGTCAAATAAAGCTCGAATAAGCTCTTTTGATTTTATTATACTGTAAAAAATGTCTGTGATTTTAACAGTAAAAGCTTTAGCAGTTCATTCAGGCTGCAATAGGTGCCATCATAGTACAAAAATCCCAGTATGCATTGCAGCATGAATATATTATTATTATCTATGTTATATTATTATGTTATCTCATTCTCTACCTTTATTTTATGTTGTTTTGGGGAGATAATATTTCAGTTGATTGTTTTGTATTGTTTTAGGTTGATTTTTATTTTTTGTTTGTCCATTGTTGAGATTCAAAGACTTTTTTTTGTTGATGTCTGCATGTTTTTAAGTTTTGTATAGATCTAACATTCTCATTGTGAATGATGTATTTAGACCTGTTAAACAGTCATTGACTGCTGTTGGTCAAGTGATTTCATTTACATATGGTATTCATTTCTCACTTATGACTAACAATATATTCAATGAGTGCACAAGCAGGTGAGGATGGCTTTGATATTATTAATCTCAGCAGACCTATTATTGTTTTTTCGTTTGACTTTTTTATGCTATACAAATAGTGTGATTAACATAATTAATTGTAGCAGCTAAAACAGCAACTAGTGTAAGAACAAATAGTTGAAGAGGCCAACTAAAGAAGACTCTGTCCACCATTATAGTGACTTCAAATGAACAACAGAAATTTCATGAAGAGCTTTTGTTCATGTGAAAGAAATAAAGTCAAAGTTCAATAATAAGTAAAGCTCCTGATGTTTGTGAAGTTGTTTAATGATCTCTGCTGAGATCTTGAGAAATTAAATTTTTATTGTGTAATTTGTTTTATTTTTAATAATTGTTAGTTTATTTAGAGTTTTATTCTCAGTTGATTTCATGCAGGTGATATCCTAGTGTTTGTGAAAGATAAGAAATAATATGATAAGAGACTGTGTGAGGTACTGAAAAAATCTGAAAAAGCAGTGATGACGCTGAATATAAAGTGCATGTTCGCTGTTACGAGAATAAAGTTCTTAGGGCAAATAATGAGTGCAGAAGGGATCAAAGCTTACCAGCATAAAATCAAGGCTCAACATGCCTAAGCCACAGAGTGTAGACATGGTTAACTATGATTTTTGCGTGCAGTTAACTATGTCTAGAAGTTTTTGCCACTGAGAGATGTTAAGAAATGACAGCACTGTGCAAACAGACCATAATCTCCTAATATCACTGTTGAGCAATAGACGAATTGAGCAAGAGAAAGAAGAGAGTTGGTGGAAAGATGTAACATCTTCTGCCAGCTTTCCCAGCAGAAAACAAAGCAACTAATGTCAACACCCTTACCAGAGTGACCCTGGTAACAGGTTGCAGCAGTCATCTTTTAGTGAGATGGAAGATAATATCTGGTTGTGGTTTACTAATTCTCAATTTACATTAAAGTCACAAACTTTCTAAACTTGTACCAGCAGGATTGAAGGTTTAAGGTCTTCTTGGCCAGATTTGGAATCCCTGAAACATTGGTGATTGACTACACTCAAGACTATGACTTCAATCATGTAACAAGTAATCCATGATATCCTCAGAGCAACGGAGAGGCAGAACGAGAAGTCTGAATAGTGAAACAAATGCTGAAAAAACAATCAAGACCCTCAAGGAGCTCTTCTAGCATATAGACCAGAACTCTTGATGGAGAGGAGGATAAGATTGACAGTTCCAGTCACAGTGAAGTCATTTACACCAAAGTGGCATACTTTCTAAATTGTTTAGAAAGAAATATAAGATTTTGAAAGGAAAACAACAAGTAACATTCAAATCACACACAGAAAGTGTGGATCGGGACATTAATAAAGGTCACTGGAATGATAAAGAGAGAAGCATCCACACTATATCAAGTAGAAACAGACTTGGAAACACTGCGAAGGAACATAGCTTATCTAACAGTTCTTCCTGAACCACCTTAGCATGAAGTGAATGGAATTGTGACAAGATCGGGGAGGATTTTTCAAGCCCTAAGAACATTGGATTTAAAAGTAGAATATTAGAATTAGAAGACTGGTTGTCAAGAAAAGAGTATAACAGTTTCTTCAGTGGAAGTAATGAACGTCCAGGTAGTCTACCCTAGCTTCCAGCTCAGAAAGGGTCAGAAGTTTAGTATTAGATGTTGGTGTCCTGAGAATGCAAGATAACACTGTTAATTCAAATTAATCAAATGCTAATAAGAGAAGTTGTAACTAAAAGGACGATATGAAGTGGTACCCAATACTTTAGTGGTCCTTAACCACCAAGCTGTGGATCCGTGGATCAATTGGTACCAGGCCGCACAAGAAATCCATAATTATTTTCATTTTATTAATTATCTGAGTCTGAACAATGTTTATTTTGGAAAAAAAAATGAAGGTATTCTCTCGCTTACATCTCAGTCTCTTGAACGCCCAAATTTAACCCACAAGCAGCAAAATGAGTAAGAAACTGACATTTTTGAAAAATGTCTTTGCTAAAGGGAAAAGGCCCAGTGAAGACCTACAAACTGCCAAGGAATGGATCCCATTGCAACTAATTTGTGAGCAAACCAGGTGAATCCACCATGCAAGAAGATCAACTGCTGGAGATTGTATGTGTGCTATAAACACCACTGAACAGTTAGAAGAACAGTATATTTGTACAAAGAACAAATACTTTGGTACTGCACTTAAGTAGATTTTTTTATGGTATCAGTTTTACTTTAAGTAAAGCAGGTATCACTTTAGCCTACTGCTCGATTTATATTTTTGGACAACTTTTTACTTTTATTCCTTTTATTTACATACAAATATCTGTACTTTCCTCTTCTTACATGTTTAAACCACGCTCGTAACTTTCGTTTTCATGGGTTTGTGCGATCTCTATCTATCTATCTATCTATCTATCTATCTATCTATCTATCTATCTATCTATCTATCTATCTATCTATCTATCTATCTATCTATCTGTCTATCTGTCTGTCTGTCTGTCTGTCTGTCTGTCTGTCTATCTATCTATCTATCTGTAGTAATTGCGCGCCTGCGTGCTGCAGTGCACAGCTTTTTCACCCAAAGCTTACCATGAGAAAGGCAAGGATAACCACACAGATGAAACACAGGGATGAGTCGCAAATTTAACATGATGTGCCCTGTTTACACTGTAATAAGACACATTTTGCTAGATTGGATCATAGATATGACACATTCCAGGTCAAAAATTTGCCATTAAAATGTTTAAGGTAGTAGTCTTAATGTTTAAAGTTATATGATAATTATTTATCTTAGCACAAGAAAAAAAGTTTTAGTCAGAATTTCATGTAATTTCATTAAGACATTATTTATAATGTTTATAGAGATAAAATAGTTTTTAGAGTGCACGAACATGAATGGCTGCTGTGGTTTTTGATCTAACAGCCACAAAATTACATGCTGAACGCTGTGAGTTTGCGTCAAAAATTAAAATTAAAATTAAAATTTGAAATGTAAGTTATTTTATATTACTGTATCAATATCAATACCTATCATCACTCACTATCCTTCAGCTTAGTCCCTGATTTTTAACTATTTAACTAAATAATGAACTATTATTTTAAAAAATGTACCTGCACTTTCTTTGTACTTGGAATAAGATGGAATGACAGTATTTTAGACATAGTTTAAGAAAATATTTTAGTTTATTACACGAATTTTTCCTTTCATTAGATTCCATATCACAAAGCTCCCTCTTGTGGTTTAAACGATCTTCACAGCAGTCACTAAAGTAACGTCAATTGACAATGGGCCTTTCTGCCATGACAACCAAACGCAAATTACTGCAGTGTCTGGACTTCGCAAACACGGTGATAGTTTGATATTAATGTTGATAAAGTATCGTAAGTAAGTCGTTGACAACGAATGGTTTAGTGTTCTGTAAATGCACTGATTGAAGAAAGTATCTTTCAAAACTATACAAATGGAAAACTTTAAGTTCCCCAGGTAAGTTGCTTATTTCCATTTACAATGGCTTTAAAACTACTGCTACTGCTAAAATAAACAAACACATACAAAACTACTTAATTATTGTGGTTAAACTGATTCACCCTGGTTGTGGGTTATCAGTACTAAAAACAAACTTTTAAAATTATATCGTATAAGCATCTAACAAGAAACAGTATTAGTTTTTTTTTTCAGTAAGGCTATATCATTTTAATAAAAATCTATATTCCTTAAATAGATTATTTGCTTTATATTGATTAACTAAATATAATTTTCAGTCTCTGGCCAATGAATGGCTGTTCATTTCCATTTTATCATGTTTATTAAAGCGATGGTTAACAAAAGTTTTGTGATAATTTACTCAGTTTTTTTTGTTGTTGTTCATTTGATAATTTTTTTTTCCTCGCAAAAACTGTATTTCATGGTTAGTAATAAATTTTATCTCAACAGCTACTGGGCTACTTGAGCCCAATAATAAATAAATAAAACATTTGTACAGACAAAACAAAATTTATACGCTGTGGCTTGATGATATAAAGTGAATGATCTGTCTGTGCAAGAAAGTGAGAACTCAATGTTATCACAATGTGAACACAATGTTCACAGTACATGTACAGTATGTGCTCACTTGCATCACAAATTTCTCCAAGAAGCTTGTGTTCCAGACTGCCACGATCATTAACACGATCAGGCCTGTTCGACTAGGGTTCAAAAGAAATAATGTTCTAAATATTGTTCTGTTGGTGGTATAGTGGCTCTGTAGTTAGCACTGTCACCTCACAGCAGGAAGGTTGCTGGTTCGAGTCCCGGCTGAGCCAGTTGCCATTTCTGTGTGGAGTTTGCATGTTTGCTTGGGTTTCTTTTGGGTGCTCATCACAGTTCAAAGATGTGATATAAATGAACTGGGTAAACAAAATTGGCCATATGTGTGTATGGGTGTTTTCCCACCACTGGGTTGCAGCTGGAAGAACATTCACTGCGTTAAACATATGTCGGAATTGTTGGCAGTTCATTCCATTGTGGCAACCTCTGAAATATAGTCTAAGCCGAAGGAAAATTGTTTTAAAAATTAAGACAAGTAATTGTGTGGGTAGGTTATTAATTTTTACTTAAAATATATTGTCAGAGTTAAAAACAAAAATTAAATGAATAAATAAAATTAATTTAGGGTGAACTATACATTTAACACACATTAGCATGTGACGTTTTTGTATTTATTTTTACTTTTCAGTGTAAACCTCAAACTTCGCAATGCTTTTTAAAAACATTCAGATAACCTTGTTAAGCCAGCATACAAGTTAATCTATTTTTATCTTTTTTGCCATCAGCTGCTTGAAAATGTTTTATAACTACAATAGTGTTGCAGGATATACCGATACCAATATGTATTGTGATCCCCTCTCTTTTGAACGATATGATTCCACACTTTTTTAGTACCTGTACTTTTGTCACAGCTGTTCTAAGTGCTTATGAAAAGGGGCAGTGCTGCTTCTACATCACATTGAGTGAGTGTTGAGCTGTGCTTTTCTTCTAAGACGCCCTCTCCGGTTTTCTATGCAGTGTCTCCCCCCACAGCTTGTGTACAGGGTTGATTCATGAAATGAAATATGGAATGACAGCCCATGTGCAAAACTCATACAACTGTGCTTAAAGCTTGGAGGAAGAATGCTAAATAAAGTCTTAAATATTAGTCACTGCACCTGCAAATCTTACTGAAGATGCACATGTGAGAGTGAGCCAGACGGCAGAAGACCATGCTGTGGAGTGAACTAAAAGTATTTTTTATATCAGCCTTGAGAAGGGTGGTCTGCTCCATAATTATGATAAATCACAAATGTATTTGGTCAAACAGTGTATTTATGCGGTTAATCACTCACTTTTTAAAATTGCATTATTGATAAAAAACACGTATGCTACTTAGTGTTAACAGGTTGAAAATGAAACGTCCAGGTTACGTACGTGACCCACGTTCCCCGAATAGGGAACAGACTCTGGGAGTGCTTTAGACGACCAATCATTTCTGAAGGTATAAAAACGGGCCAATGAAATGCCAATTGAATTGGCGAAGCTTAGCTCCACAGCTGAATCTGATAAGCCAATTAGTGCTATATCAGTCGGCTGTGTGAGTTAGCTCATCAGATTGTTGCTTCAGACCCGATCTGAGACTGAAGAACCCTTCTGCTGAGCTGACTTCCAACATTGAAGAAAGCCTTACCTTCACCAGTGTGGGAGAAGACGTGTAAGCAGCGGTCGAGCTGGGTTTCCCGTCCCCTTGGCGTTTCGCTGGGGATCTGAAAGAGCAGTTTACTGAAAGAGCAGAATTCCCTAAGAGAGCACACGGTCGTACAGCGCGTCTTTTTAAAGATGTCGTTTCGACCGTGCGTTTCTGGATGCAATTGAATTGGTGGAGCTTAGCTCCACAGCTGAAACTAATGAGCCAATTAGGGCTATAACAGTCGGCTGTGTGAGTTAGCTCATCACAATTTTGCCTGCTGAAGAGCCGATCGCTCAGCTCCCAGCTGGAGACTCAGGTGCTGTGGCAGTGGAGACACATGTCTCTGTCCCCGTACGTAACCTGGACGTTCCCCTTCATATGGGAACTTCTACGTGTGTCTGTATAAACAGACTTTGGGAGACTGTATGGAGGGCGCCACAGCAACCAAGCCCGTCACGCCCCTGATATGTAGTTTGCCAAGCCAAAGCGTGAGCGCACTGACATAACCAAGAGCGCAACCTTCCAACTTCCCCTAGGCCCAACATATTACCATTACATGGAAATAAATGTTTAATGTTTAATCGGGGGTCGTAAGTGTGATTTTATCTAGCTAATATAGACTAGGGATTTTTGGAAGTTGGGAAGTGTCAGTCCCCGCAGGGGGAGGACGCGGCAGAGACCACCTGCTACCCAGAAGGGAAAACCTGATGGTAAGGAGGCATATGGACTAGGCCTAAGCTGGTTAGTGGTTTAGGGAAGACACGGAACCGCCTGATAAGGGGGAACACACCCTGGTAATAATGCATATGGCATCACCAAATGGGGATGCACATAGCTGGCAACGATCCTCAATATGCGTGTAGACCAAATGGCATACCAACCGCAAACTGAGCCATGCATTCGACTCCCCCGCTGAGTCGATGATGGGGGCATCGGAGGAACTCTCTAGGGTTCGCCTGAGAAGGGCAACTTACTAGTCCTGACCAGCATGTGTTTCCGCTCCAGCACCGGTAAAAAGCGGCGGAGAGCCAGATACACTGCCAACAGCTCCAGGCAGTTGATATGCCAAAGCAGGCGGGGTCCGGACCACGAACCCGTGGCTGCATGCTCGTTGTACACGGCCCCCCAGCCTGTGCTGGAGGCTTATGTCGTTAAAACAAATTGCCTGGACACCCTAGGGGCACTCCTGCTCGTAGAAAAACCAGATCCGTCCAGGGGCTGAGGGTGCGGAAACACAGCAGAGTGACGCGCACCCGGTGCGTGCCCGCGCACCATGCCCGTCTGGGGACACGATTGCAAAGCCAACGGCGAAGTGGTCTCATATGAAGCAAACCGAGCTGCGTGACCGCGGCTGCGGATGCCGTATGACCCAGGAGCCTCTAAAAACATTTCAGTGGGACCACTATCTTCCTGTGGAGCTTCGTTACACAGGAAAGCATCAGCCTGGTGCATTCCTCGGAAAGGCGCGCAACCATAGCTACCGAATCCAGCTCCAGATAGTTGAGTATGCGGATGCCCGCAAGGCGCAGGGGCGCTAGGACACCCTCCGCAAGCTTGGTAAAAACCCGCGGAGACAAAGAGAGCCCAGAGGGGAGGACTTTGTATTGCCACGCTCATCTTTCGAACGCGAACCGAAGAAAAGGGCGGTGGCGTGGAAGAATGTAGACGTGAAAACTTGCACCCTTTAGGTCTATGGCTGCTAACCAATCCTTTGGACGGACACTCTGAATGAAGTGTTTCTGCGTGAGCATTCTGAAAGGCAATTTGTATAAATTACAGTTCAGTCTGCGCAGACTTATGATTGGCCTTTACCCCCCGATCTTTTTGGGCACGATGAAATACGGGCTGTAAAACCCGGACCTCATCTCGGCTGAAGGGACCTGCTCGATTGCATCCTTCGCCAGGAGGACAGCAATCTCCTCTCGCAAGACAGGGGTGCTCTCGGGGATCACCCTCATGAAAAGGACACCTGTAAACTTGGGTGGGCGAATAGCGAACTGAATCGCATAGCCGAAAGCGAGCTTTTTCAACGTCACTCATATCAGCCAAGCTCAGCCAAAGGTGGCGTTTCTGGACCACTAATGTGGCCATCGTCTTCCCCAGGGCACAAGCAGCCGAACACGGGCCTGACCCGCAGCAGTGTAGGCTCTGGCCATGAGAGACTCAGATAACCTGTACGCCTTGAAAGGGAGTTTGGGCGAATCTCCACGAGTGAAACGGCTAGCACGCTCCGCCCGGGGAATCGCCTCATATCCCCTGGCCTCTCCATCATAGAGGGAGGTGAGAGCGGGAGCGCACGAGGATAGGGCAGAAAAAGGTGCCCTCCATACCTGCGTGAGCTCTCTGTGTACCTCCGGGTAGAAGTGGACGGGGGGTCTTAAAAGCTTCGCCTTCACGCCCACGTCCAGCCCCAAAGCCGAAGCAACCCGGGATAACACAGCTAACATGTCCAGTTCCAGATCCGTAACCATACTGACAACCCCCGAGGGTGGCAGGGGGTCCGGATCTTCCTCAGAGGTCAACCTGCCCTCCGATGCAGCGATGGACGTCACGCCCCCAGTGTCATCTAATGCAAGCGCGGAGCCCGGAGCCAGCTCGGAGGATGGACCAGCGCTCACACTCGAAGCAGAAACAGAGCGCACTGGAGTGGAGCGAAGGGTCCGCGGGCCCGAAGGCGACGGATTAGCCCCCACTGTAATCCTCAGGTCTGCCCGAGTTCTAATCGCTTGGCGGGGAGCAGCAGGGGTGACTTGCCCTAATAAAAGAGCTCGCCGCAACCTCAGTTGCGCAACAGTCAAGCCATCGCAATGCAGGCAAGAACTGTCCGCAAGCACTGCATCAACACGTTGGACCCCCAAGCAATATTGGAGTACTCCAATACTCATGCCTGTCATCTGGGGCAAGAAAACCACTGCATCCAGAAACGCACAGTCGAAACGACATCTTTAAAAAGACGCGCTGTACGACCGTGTGCTCTCTTAGGGAATTCTGCTCTTTCAGTAAACTGCTCTTTCAGATCCCCAGCGAAACGCCAAGGGGACGGGAAACCCAGCTCGACCGCTGCTTACACGTCTTCTCCCACACTGGTGAAGGTAAGGCTTTCTTCAATGTTGGAAGTCAGCTCAGCAGAAGGGTTCTTCAGTCTTAGATCGGGTCTGAAGCAACAATCTGATGAGCTAACTCACACAGCCGACTGATATAGCACTAATTGGCTCATCAGATTCAGCTGTGGAGCTAAGCTCTGCCAATTCAATTGGCATTTCATTGGCCCGTTTTTATATCTTCAGAAATGATTGGTCGTCTAAAGCATTCCAAAGTCTGTTTATACAGATACACGTAGAAGTTCCCTTATGAAGGGGAACTACATTTACCAAAGTTCAAACTTAAGGCAGTCAAGGCAAAAAGTAAAAAAGAAGCAGCTGATTGCTCTGTCCTAGAAATGTGAGATAAGCAAATCACATATTTAAATGATCTAAAATATGTTATCAGTTTGTTTCCATTTCATAGAAAAAAATGTCATAATTGTACACAACATAAATTCCAAAATATTGTGAAAATATATGTGTAGTAATGACCCTTAAATTTCCCAAAATATATGTGGTCTTTATATTTTTATAAGGTATTCATTTAATAATTTGTAGCATCTAAGACTAAAATTGTAATATGGTGTGACACAAAATTTGTTTTATATAAAATAAAAATAGATACAGAGGGACAACATAAAGGTATATATTTTTTAAAATACCCATTTTTATTGGTGTATGACATGGACAGTTAATATATACAGTTGAAGTCAGAATTATTAGCCCCCCTTGGATTTTTTTTTCTTTTTTAAATATCTAGAAAAATATCTAGAAAAATATTATTTACTGTCATCATGGCAAAGATAAAATAAATCAGTTATTAGAAAAGAGTTAATACAACTATTATGTTTGGAAAGGTGTTGAAAAAACTTCCCTGTTTAACAGAAATTAGGGAACAATAAACAGGGGGTCTAATAATTCAAGAGGGCTAATAATTGTAACTTTAACTGTAAATATGTAATTAATTATATTTTGACAGGATCACTGTATCTTGAACACACTAAAAAGTTATGTGCACTTCTGTTTATAGTGTATTGTAAAGTGTATTGTTCTGTTTATAGTGTATTGTACAAATCTGCAACATATACGTATATTGAAGTCAAATTTTGGGATCATATCAACCCCACAATACACCCTTTAAAGGGGGGCTCCAGAATATAAATTTTGTGTAAACAGTCAATGTCTTATCTGACAAGTGTCTGTAACAAGTAAAAATGGAGTGCGGCTCCTTTAAGAGAGTGTGTGTGTGTGTGTGTGCCATTGTGAGTGTGTTAATGTGTGTGCGTGTGTTAGTGCTGCACTATTCTGACTAAAATGAGAATCGCTATTTTTTTGCTTAAAATAAGGATTATTGTTTTTTCCTCTATCATATGGTAGAACAACAATATTAATATTATGTGTAGGTCTACTGGTTTTTATAAATAATTCTATTCTAATTATAATAATTCTGATGTTGAATTATGTTTGAGATATATGCTTGCAATCTGCCATAGAGAACATTATTAGACCATTTAATTCAATGGTAAAATCAACTGTGTGTTCACCATGAAAGAAAAAACATTATCAAATGCTTGTCGCAATTATAACTCTAAAATGGGATGTAATCATTTAAATGATGTGCACGCTTTCGATTTCATTTTCACTGCTAAGTGCTGTTCATACTTCGCGTGCGGCTCTCAAACGATCACTCTGTGCCAAAAACTGAATATTATTTACAACTGTATTACCTATTATTCATAGCATATGCAGGTTCTGTTCACTAAAGTAGATGCGCGCACGTCTACAGGGTACGCGCCCGCAGTCAGCAGCTCACGTCACATGTGATTTCCCAGCCATGAATACAGCATTATATGAAGACAAAAATGAAATGTTGAATTATACCTTATAAATACAGTATGTGACTCTTTTAACATCATTTGGAGGTGTCCATGTCCTGAGTAACGTGTGTGAAACAATAAAAAGACTCGTGCAGCCACCTTTGCTTCTTCCCTGAACTTGAAAATAGTGTCGTGTCTCAGAGTTCACAGCATCTGCACTGTTAAAAATTGTCCCGTTAAAAAACAGTAAAATACTGGCAGCTGCAGTTGCCAGCAATGTACTGTTATTTTACAGTATGTTGCTGTAAAAATACATGGACTACATTGATTTACACAATACTCAAGTGAACTCATTTTGCTCACTGAAAGCAACTGCCTCAACTTGGTCAACTGCTGAATGAGTTTATGAAGTATTGTGCTATATATGCTTAGAAGCATACTTATAATGATAATATTTTTGTATGTTATTTCCTAACTGTTAAGTAATTACAAAGGTATCTTTTCTGTTTCCACTTCTCATTAATTAAATTAATACCTGCAACTAGCATAAAATCCATTGAATGAAGCCCTTCTTCCAGATTTATACCAAAACATTTATCAGAACTAATTTCAGATAAATAGATTTCTCTATTTATTGACTTCCCAACTTTATTGCTATAGTACAAACGTTTTGTAAACTCCGTATTCAAGCAGTTGGAAAGTCTTCTTAAATGAGTTCAAGGGTGAAGAGCCCAACTAAATCAGCCCCTCACTCCACTACGGTGACACAAAAAACACCTTAATTTCTGTTGGATCTCAATGAGAATAGTATGGAAGTCAAATCAGTCAGTAATAAGTGTGTGTCTGCTGTTGTTTGTGGAGTTGTTTAATGATCCTCTGCTGAGACTGAAGCTGTTTTATTTTATTTGATTTTATTTAATGCTGTAACTTAAGTCACTGTTTGTATTTCTTGTTTATTTTCTTCAGTAATTGTAATTATTAACAGCAGGTGTTCATCAGTGTCTGAATTCACTCATTAGTGTTCATTAAAACTGTCAGGTGAACTATATTAGTTAACTAGTGTATGAAATAGTGAACAAGGACACAAAGTGTGATTTCAAACACAGATTTCAAAACATCGAATCTGAACTCTGTTCGCTCACAGTTTTCTGCAGTTGGTTACTTTCTCGAAAACAAAAATGTTACCCAGAAAGCACTGTTTTTAACAGAATATTACTGTTTTAGTGAAAAAACATTATTTTACCCTAGAATCTGACCGTTTTTTAACAGCAATTTTTTACAGTGTGCTTGTAGCTGCTCCATCTTTGAGGAGATTTTAACCGAATCCAACACTGAACTGGGAGAGATTCTGGAGCTGTGTTTTGTCAAATCATGCTTGCTATGTGTTTTATAATTCTCTGGAACATAATATTGAACTGGAAGCACTTTCCTCTTTGTGTCATGGCCCAAATTCAGAGATGCAGTTTATGTTCACACACCTACATTACACATCAACTAAAGTTTAAAATATGATATGTAGTGGACCACCCCTTTAAAACATTGGAATTTTGTTTTATGCATCATTAATAACCATGTTAACTACATCTTGACTGTGTTTTCAGGTTTAGGGAACATCATAAGCCTAAATACATCAGGGATCTAAGACAAAAGCAACAGTTATCTGGATCATTAGACAGTCACAGATGGTGTTTTCTGTCACCAGGCCTGGATGATTTTAGAGATCATTACCCGACAGTCTATAAAGTGCCATTTACCCAGTGTAAATGTGCTCTGTCCCCTGTGGTCTTCGGTCTGCTGAATCATGCTTGTTCAGTGAAGCTCCAGCGAAAGAAACTGAGTAAAAATCAAGTGTGTTACTCAAAGCAAAATCTCCAGAGTCAGACTCAGCGTGAGTTCATCGATGCCGTCGAGCACAAACTCAAGCAACACCCACTGGCTCTGTATCCACATCTGGAGAGTGGGATGATACCAGAGGTGACCACATTCAACTCTAGTCTATATGACCAAATTATCTACCACATGTAAATAACTTTAAGCCATAGGAAAGTTGCTGTTTTTAATTTTATTAATACATTGAATACATTATTATTGTTTATTAATTGGTAACTGGTCCGATAATTCTGACTCTAACTATATATATATATATATATATATATATATATATATATATATATATATATATATATCATTCATTCATCTCTGGGAAACATCCACACACACACACACACACACACACACACACACACTACGGACAATTTAGCCTACCCAATTCACCTGTACCTAATGTCTTTGGACTGGGGGAAACTGGAGCACCTGGAGGAAACCCATGCGTACGCAGGGAGAACATGCAAACTCCACACAGAAACGCCAACTGAGCCGAGGTTCGAACCAGCGACATTCTTGCTGTGATATATATATATATATATATATATATATATATATATATATATATATATATATATATATATATATATATATATAGTTAAAGTCAGAATTATTAGCCCCCTTTGATTTTTTTTTTCCCAAATGGTGTTTAACTGAGCAAGCAAATTTTCTAAGTATGTCTGATAATTTTTTCTTCTAAAGAAAGTCTTATTTGCTTTATTTCGGCTAGAATAAAAGCAGTTTTTAATTTTTTTAAAGCCACTTAAGGGAAAAAATTATTAGCCCCTTTAAGCTTTTTTTTTTTTTTTTGATAGTCTATAGAACAAACCATCAATATTCAATTGCTTGACTAATTACCATATCCTCCCTAGTTAACCTAGTTAAGCCTTAAAATGCATTTTATGTCTTAAAAATATCTAGGCAAATATTTTTTACTGCCATCATGTCAAAGATAAAATAAATCAGGATCAGAAAGTATAATAGAGAAAATTAACTCAAATCTTATTTCATTAGTTATTTGAACAGGTTTTGTCTGTCCTGGATCCTGATATGTGCATGAAGGGAGAGTTGTCCTTAACCAAGAAAACAGAGAAACATCTAGAAGACAGGAGAGCAAAATGTGAAGTCTCAACTCAGGAGATTTTAAAACGATCCACCAGCATCAAGTGATTATCTTTTTCTTTTACTTTTTGGACCCATTTCTGCTATTGCTTCATCATATCATCTTTGTCCAAATGTGATTGGACAGACCTTAATGTTAAAAGTATAGTTGTAATTGTTTTTTAAATGATGTCGTCATTTACTCAAACATTCCAAGTTCCAAACTTGTTTGACTTTATCATGTATATATAAAAATCATGTATTTTGAAGAATACTGGAAATCAATGCATGCCCATAGAACATGCTTTACAACAATATCTTCTTGTGTGTTCATCATCAGAAAAAGGAAACTATACAGGTTTGAAAGCACCTGGGTGTCTGTACAGTAAATGATGAACTATCCTTTTAAAAATGTTATTCCAATTTAAATATCAAAATTATTTTGGTTTGAGATTTATGCATATCATTTCTAATCCTCTTCTTTCACTATATCCAAGATCCCCAAAGGATGAAAGTAAAGACACCAGAGCAAGAAATGCATATAAATGGCAGGAACTCAAAGAAATAGACAAAGAATATCAGACGGCAAATGCTAAACAATCACAAGAAGACAAGCAAATGTTTGTTAAGTTCTTCTGTGAATGGATTACTTCACTGGTAATATTTTTCTACAGTATGCATCAAAGTACACTGACCAGTTGCTGTTTGTAGCCTAACAGGTTATTTCACCATCAGGGCGGTGAGACAAGTGATCTGAGAGAGTCAACCATCTTGGACCTTTTTAAGAGTGACTATGAGAAGAAAACCACCTTGACTTTACCCATTAACAAAATTGCTCACCAACCTTCAGGAAAGTGCCACAGTTCTGTAAAAGAACACTTTAAAGACCACTGCGTCAAAGAGCTGACAGAGGTTGGGAAAACTCGCTCTTAGTATTACAATGTTTTGTTACTGTTTACACAAAAACAATATTATGTACATTCAATCTTTTTGATGTTTCATTACAGGCCTATAAACCCAAAATACTAAAGACTGCTTATGATTCTCCAAAAGCTCTGGCAGATGTCAAAAGGAATCTACACTTTGAGCCAAGCAAGCAGGTGAACTTTGCAACATATACCAAATGAGACAGCTGATGATGAGGCAAACTAGTCTGATCTCTGTTTAGTTTTCATTCTATTGACATTTTGCTTTTGTCATCTAGAACAAGGAGCTGAAGCAGATTCATGGCATTCATGCATTCAGAGAGTTTATTATCAACAAAGGAGTGAGAATGCCAAGGGTAATATCAGATAACATTGGCTCTCCATATTCCTCTTAAAAAGAGCTGGTCCATGATCCATGAAGATTAAATATTTGCATATTAATAATTAAATACTTTATCAACACTTACAGAAATAATGATATATATCCATGTTCAGTGCTCCTTTTTTTCTGAAGAGGAACATACAATGATTAGAGGTTACACATAGTCAAAATTTAAATGAATAGACATGCATTAAACTCTTTATATGATGTTTCATTGTGTTGTTTTATTGTACATCACTTCACACATAAAAAGTTTTAGCAGCTAGATGCAGTTCCGCAAACTACAGTTTTATTTTTTAACAATCAACAATTTTAAACAAGGGCTTAATTTTGGCACAGTTTTCACATTCGCTGGTTCTCTTCATTCATTCATAAAATTTATAATAAATAGGAAATCTTTATTTAAAAATATGAAATACAATCTAGTTTAATCCAATGCATCCACACACGGTTTTCTCTGCAAAAAAAAACATTTTTCTGCAGAAATAAAAATCATTGATAAATTCAATTTAGTTCGTCTTTATGTCAGTGCTTTTACAATGTATATTGTGTCAAAGCAGCTTCACATAAAAGATCATTGTAAATTGAAGCAGTGTCTGTCCAGTTTTCAGAGTTTCAGTTTCTTTTAGTTCAGTTTAGTGTGGTTTAATTTACACTGCTGAAAGTCCAAACACTGAAGAGCAAATCCATTAATGTGCAGCTTTACCAGTCCCAAACCATGCAAGACAGTGGCGAGGAACAAACTTCACCATTTGACGAAAGTGAAGGAAAAAAAAAAACCTCAAGAGAAACCAGGCTCAGTTAAGCCGTTTGGGCTTTGAAGTCAATAAATACATTTTTTAATTGATACAATATTTAATCGGAAGCCAATGCGATGATAAAAGAACTGGAGTAATATGATCTTATTTCTTTTGTTTTAGAAAGCACTCTAGCAGCTGCATTTTGAACTAGCTGAAGTTTGTTCATTAAGCCAAAAGGGCAACCTAGTAACGTATTACAATACCCTGATCGAGAGGTCATGAGAGCATGAATAAGCTTTTCCGCATCAGACAATGATAGCACATGTCAAAGTTTGGCAACATTTTTAAGATGAAAAAATACAGTTTTACAGATGTTTGAAATCTGGCCTTTAAACAACAGGTTGCTATTAAAAATCAACCCCAAATTTTTGACTGAGGATGAGGACTGAACCAAGAATCCATCAAGGGTTAGACAGTGTTCTAAGCTTATACGTGTGAGGTTTATGGGTGCAAAAAGACCTCAGTTGTATCTGAGTTTAGTAATAAGAAGTTATTAGTGATTAATTATTAGTTATGAATAAGTCATTAATTTTTTATATCAGCCATATAATCTGTTAATTCTGTAAATTTATACCACACATAAAAAAGCTGCATATATATAAACATATTTTTTAGCATTGTATAATGTATATTTTTGTAACATCTGCAAAATTTCAGTAGGTTAATTCATTCATTTATTTTGCTTCAGCTAAGTCTCTTATTGATAACAGCAGAATGAACTGCCAATGGCATATGTTTTATGCAGCGCATGCCCTTCCAGCCACTACCCACCACAGGGAAACACTCTCACACTCACACATGCACTTATACACTATGGCCAATTTTTTATTTAAAAGAGTGATGATTAGTTTTTACTCCGTGATTGATTTTGCTTGTAAACTTTTTCAGTATGTGTCCCACTATTGTAATTAATGTTACAATAAAAAAATGTATTACAGTTTACAATAAATGTTCTACTATTGTATTTAGTTTTACACTAATTTTACTATTTTATGAAATACAGCAACTACTGCATAATTGTTGCCAGTAACTTAATTTAACAAGACATTTTTGCAGTGTACAAATAAAAAACACTCTTCTGTCGAAAAGAGTTATACTATGCTACATGTTTAATTTTCAAATAAAAGCAGCTTATTTTATTATCAGCATCGCATTCACAAAAACAACCTCAAGTATATTGTTAATATATTGTCTGCTTTTCAAAAGACACTTTGTCCTGCCAACCAATGAACAGAAACTAACGTCATATGAGACCATTTTCCTATTCTCTCCCTCTCACCATTGAATAGGACAAAGTGAAACAATGGAGGGTCACAGAGGTTAGAACTAAGGAACCATAGCTACATTACGCAGCAGCCCAAACACTGCATGCACTTGAGGACAGATGTTCTTCAACAATGTCTCAATACACTGATGCCGAACAGCCGAAAACATAGTACAAATGCAAAAATAAAATGTATGCATTGTGCAGATTAAGTGGGGGAGACTGGGGTAAGGTGAGCCAGTGTGTAAGTTGATCCATCTCTTGTATCAAGGCAAACATTTAATGTTATTGATATCTGATCATACATCGTGGATCCACACATAGTTTCTGGCGGATCTTAAAAAGGAAAAGCATTAAGAAGAGTCTAGCATTAGTTTACTATTACTATTAGTTTGTGCCTTGTCAAAGTAAATAATGACCATGTCAGAACTAATAGCTGCTAGATCTAAACAAATATATCAAGATCTAAAACTGTTTATACTGTATGTTTAAGATGTACCAGTATTAAACTTCATGTATATGTTAATCAAAAATTTGCCAAGTTAGTTGAGGTAAGCAAAGTATTGTTTTTTTTTCTTTTTTTTTTTTTTTCTTAAAAACAGCAATTATAGGGCAAAATGATCCAAATGCTATGGGATAAACTGGGTCAGTGGTGTTTTGTTCTGGTGTTTTCCCCACAGAGTGATGTGCTGAATAAACTACCTCAACCTCTAAAATGTGCAATAATCTATTAGCTGATGTTAACACATTGCTTGTTCGGTACGCAATTCACTATTTGAAAATATTATTTGAAAATGAAAATATGTATGTAACCAACATATTTTTTATATTATTTCAAGGAAAAGAACGTATCACTGCAACTTCTGAAAGGTAACAGCCATGTTATACTGTTGCATAAAACAAATCAGACATTAAATAATGTAAATAACAAAATAATAATAGTAGTAAAATAAATAGTACCAATGTTCTCCACGTATAGTTTTGTCAATCTGCAAATTTAAAGAGCAATCAAGAAAACAAAAACACTTGAAACAGAATGGAGTTACTTCTTTGCTATCTTAACACTGCTTGACTGCTTGGTCATACAGTTTTTCAGAATCCATACTAAACTCTTTGTAAATTTTTAGACAAATAAAAAACAGCCATGTCAACTCTGCTTGGTTTCTGCGATGACATAACTTGCACTTGTAGGGTTATAAATTGCACAATAACTGCAAATTAGAGCTGCACGATATTGGAAAATGTTTAGATTTTCTGCTAAATTAATCAAATATTAATTTCATTTCATTTTCACTTTATTTCATTCAATTCAAGTACATTAATTGAATAATCAAATGTAAAATAGCACTATTATCATTGTATAAATACTCATAATAAAACTCTATAAAATGATTTTTACTAAAGTTACAAATGGTACAACTTCTTTTGCCCGTCACAGGACTTACAAACACATGCAAATGATCAACTTGTGCATCATTATGATAAACATTTTTAAAGACTAATGAGACTCAACAGCACTAATTCCATTTAAGAAGTGTTGACAACTGTCACCGACTCAGTCCCAGTCATTCCCCTCGCTGGCCAGCAGAGGCCGCCATCTCCGGACTTCTAGCATTACATCATCCACTTACGCTGATTGTGCACACACCTGTTCTGAATCTGGTTAACGACCCACGTACCCTATTTAAGCCGCACACAAACACTCATTCAGTGCGAAGTCTTGTTCAGCCCCGGCCAGCATTACTGAGGATTATATCTAGCCTGATCTCTTGTGTACGACTCCAGCCTGTTTCTGACTTTGCTTCGCCTTCTGCCTGCCCACGACCCACGCCTGAAACACGGACTCTGATTCTCGCTGCCTGCCCTCGACCCAAGCCGGCTACACGGACTCTGAATCTCGCCCCTTGCCTTCGACCCATGCCTGGTAACTCACTCTGTCTATTCACCGTCATTCCTGAAACCATTACTACTACTGTGGATGTGTGTGTGCACCCAGGTGCATATTGTGTGTTTGAGTGAGATTGTGATCAATAAATACTGCATAATAGATCCCTCCGTGTCAGTCTCCTCGTTACAGAGGACTTCGCCCAACATGGATCCCGCAGCCATACAGGTTTTGTCTCACGAGATCACAACTCAATCTCAGGTACTAACCACATATCAACAACAATTACCACACCTAACTCAGTTGACAGATGAACTGGTGAAATCACTGCAAAACCTGCAAGCTGCTCCCACAGTGCAATTCACCGCCAACTACTCTACTAGTCAACCCTCTGTGACACAGACCCAGTCTGCTTCTGGCGTTCGTCTGGCATTCCCTGACAAATTTTCAGGTAACCCAGCTAAATGCATAGGATTCTAACTGCAGTGCAAACTGTTTATCGCCCAACAGCCTCATTTGTTTAAAGATGAGAACGGGAAAATTGCCTTTGTTTGTTCACTGCTCACAGGAAAAGCTTTAGACTGGGCTACTGCAGTTTGGCCAGACAGCACCCCGATATTCCCCTCATTCAATGACTTTCTCAAACGATTTTGCACTGTGTTTGATCATCCTGAGGGTGGTCGTAATGCTGGTGAGGAGCTTTTGTGTGTGCAACAGGGAGATCGACCCGCAGCTAAATTCGTTCTCCATTTTCGCACACTGGCAGCGCAAACAGACTGGGCTGATGATCTGCTCACCACACTTTACAGAAGAGCTCTGAGACCTGAACTGCAGCAGGAGATGGCATGTCGTGATGAGGGGAAAACATTGGACCAGCTCATAAAACTCTCAATCAGGTTAGACACGTTACTTCGCACACGTAACCCTTTGTGCTCTGTCACTTCCAGTCCTGTATCCCCTGAACCTCTCACGGAACCTATGCAACTGGGCAGAACCCGTCTAACCCCTGAAGAGCGTGAACGACGAAGGAGAAACCACCTATGCCTATATTGCGGACTTTCAGGACACACGAAGATCCTGTGTCCCAACAAACCTCCACCTAAGGCTCTTTCGGTGAGTGCTACCACCGTATTCACGACTACTAATGATATCATGAGTGTGCCTGTCTGCTTAAAACATGAGGATGTTGAAATCTCAACTGTGGCCATGGTCGATTCAGGAGCCGCTGGCAACTTTATTGACTACACGTTTGCTTCAACTCACTCCATCCCTCTAACCTCCTGTAATTCCTCTCTAGCCATTACTGCTATAGACGGGCGCCCCCTGGGGGAAGGACACATAAAATTCCGAACTCTGCCAATATCTCTTCAAACAGGCTCTCTCCATGTTGAAGAAATTTCCCTCCTCGCCATTGACTCTTCACGACACACCATTATCCTCGGACTCCCCTGGATACAACTCCATGACCCTCAAGTTTCCTGGAAAACTGGTGAGATTGCTAAATTGAGCGATCAGTGTGTTACCCAATGTCTGCATTCTGTTTCCCCTGTCCAGAT